TGTACTCCACTCTCCTGTAGTCCGCGTCCTCGCCGACGCCGCAGTCGCAGTTTTGCGATTAGGATTTCACCGTCAGATGCGTCGGTAGAATTCGTCGCCGTTGACAGTGAGGATCTGGCCGATGAGGCGAGGGGCGAGCCCAGCCTTGCCTGGCAGCACGTGCGGGGGGGCAGCAGAATGCTTGGGGCCGCAGGCTCCGTGCTCCTTCGCCACTTCGAAAGTTGCATGTCTGAAGTATGTTAGTTCATCAGGCTGTGCGATCCCCTGTGGAGCTCGATCTGTCCCGGTGGAACGATCGCAGATCTTGGTTGTCGTCGCCGAAGGCCGAGCGAACATCCGCCAAGATCTGCGGCAAGCCCGACTGCTTCGCCTCCATCCCTGGCGCGACGACTGCATCGCGACCCAGCGCGTTGTTCGCTTCGTCGAGTGTTGGCGCGGATCGCAGCATAGGCAAGCACACCGCGGGCGTATTAACCGCGCTGGGCTGTGTAGTCATTGCGGGCAGTAGTCTCATGCGAGTTTCAAGGACTCATGACAGCGTGGACGAGCCGCGACGAGCCACGTGAAACGTCGAATGGCCCATCAGCTAGCGGCTAGGGAGAGAGCGGCGAGGGGACAGCATGGGGGAGGAGGGGACGAGGAGGAAGAGGAGGGGTGGCGATGCACTTGGGGCGGCTGGAGGGGCGAAGGGGGCGGTGAGGGAGGGACGGAGGGGAGGGATGGAATTGGGCGGGGGATGGACGGGGGCGGCGAGAACGAGCCCGGGGTGAAGGCAGGGTAGGGCCGGGTGAGGGCGGGGTCTGTGAGGTCCTGGGCGAGGAGCGAGGGCCGGCAGGGCACAACACAGAGCAGAGCAGTCGCGGGGGCCCGCCTCCCACGCAGGCCGGGGTTCCTGGTGCGCAAGCCCGAGCGCCTGCCAGGGGACGTTCAAGGCAGGGCGCCCTCTCCCTCCCCCCACAGCATTAGCAAACAGACATCAGCGCAATATCAGGGCAGCAAGGCCGAGGCATAACGGCAGCATCGCGATAAGTTTATCAGAAGCCGAGGGCAAGCCACCCGTGACCCGCCAGAACAGGTACCACCTTCGGGCCAACAGTGCAACAGTGTCGAACAGATCGGCGAGGCATGTAAGTCCGTATCCTCCCCTGCCACACCCAGGAGTACTCCCGCGGCTTATGCTGCGCTCGTGTCCGCGCTTCTTCTTGCGCTGTCTGGTGGCACTGCTTGCTGGCTCCTGGCTCGTTCCCTTCTTGCCCGTTTTCCGTCGCTTCTTTCTCTTGCGTTTCATGCGAAGGCCTTGCGGCCAGTGCCGCCCTCTGAAGGGGTACGACGACGGTGGCGGCGGCGGCAACGACGGCCACGCTGACGCGGGTTAGAGTCTTGAAATATGCTTCTTGGGGTGTCTTCGGAGCGCTCTCGGGCGCCTCTGGGGGGGCAATTTTCGTCTCCGTTGAATCGATCACTTTCGCTCCTGCCTGCGGTATTTAATCTCCATCCGCCCGCCGCTGCGGGCGTTGGGCTCAAGCCTCTTGATGCCCCTCAAAGGAGGTGGTAGCTGGATTTCGGCGGAGTGCCGTTCGCGCCCAGCCGTGCGCAAAAGGAGAGTGCGCGCCTTCCGCGCGCGAGCCGCAATGTCATCCATCAGCGTCAAGGGAGAGCTTCTGCAGAACATCCTCGTAACGGGATCCCCCTGAGCTAGTAGAAGACGGACATGTGTCAGGTTTGTCTTGCAGGCATTTTTGATCATCTGATCAAGTTCAGGTTAACAGCCGAAAAATAGCAGGCAGGGCTCCCCCTGCGTCGACCGAGATCACAGCTTCCACCGTGACCGCAGTGCAGCTGGTGTTTGTGTGTGTGTGTGTGTTGTGGTGGTGGTGGTGGTGGTGGTGGTGGTGGTGGTGGTGGCGGGTGGGGTGTGTGTCCCCGTCGGTCTGCTGTGACCGTCGCCCGCCCCCGTCGGGCGGAGCGGCCTCCGGCCCCAGACCCCCCCTCTTCACGAGGTCCACGCCGCCATCGGATCACCCGGCGGCGGCCCCGCCGTGACGCTGCGCGGCGCGCCAGGTGGAGGAGGAGGAGGAGGAGGAGGAGGAGGAGGAGGAGGAGGAGGAGGAGGAGGAGGAGG